CCAAAACAAGCATCCATGGAATGAATAGCGACACCAGATTCATCAGTCTATAATGGCAGCGTTGAATATTACATATGTATCAATGGTTCTGACAACCTTACAAATAAGGAAACACAACCACAGTAGCTACTGTATTTTACACTACAGGCCAAACGTTTAAGGCCACCTTCAGGCTTTTTAGGCCTCTCGCCTATCTAGTTCATCCCATGGGCTATGCCAGCTCAAAGGGTGAAAGATCAGCAGATTGTGGAGGCCACTCTATGATTCTACGAACACCTAGCATTACCTTTGACTAAATATAATTTGATGAAAGTAGATTTCAAATACAAATTAAAATATACACTGTCCTTTACTGGACGGTGTCAAATTGTTACTGATTGAATATTACCATAACCTTCTCACTCGTTTTTATTACAGGTCTTTGTGTATTAATTTGTCATTGTTGTTTTGCTTTTTTTACAGACTGGAGGTGGTCTTAAACTTTTGATATGTACTGTATACCTGTATAGTGTACAGGTACTGTATGATTAGAAGGTATTGTATACTGTTGATTACAATAATATAATTATATCACAACCTCTATATAGTGCTTTTCATTACATACCCAGATAATTTATTTATTGATTCATCATTTATTACATAAAGGCACAACACATTTTGATTTTGACCTGCAACAGTAACTTACTTGTGGACAAAGAGGGCAGTTTGTGTAGTCAATTAGTAGTCCAGTAATTTTAGGAGATTTTTTTGTTAAGGTCGGAAAAAAATAGTAAAAAGTTGAAATTTGCAGTATGCAATCCTTTAACCGTTCTCAACAACATACTAAAAGTCCTCATGTATCCCGCTTGAGCTTTTGTTGTATTAACGCCAGAACCATACACTACCTTTGAACGGAAATTTTGGCAGATTGAATACATTTTGTTGGATTTGGTTGGATTTGGCAGTTCAAAAGTGGAAGCACTGACAATAACAATTGTCTGCAGACGCTGCGAATTGAAAATATCTCAGTTAAAAAAATGTAAGTATATGTGCAAAAAACCTTTATTTTCTTCAGAATTTACACTATATGTTAAACTCTACCTTCGGTATGCAACAAAAGCTGTATAATATATGCCAGTCTGCAAAGTTTACTTTTTAACCGGATATCGATTCAGCCAGGCACATGTAAATGTACGCCAATTTTGGAAATGTATATGTGCAAAAGTTCCAAATACATTTATTTTTTAGACTTTAGTATAAATATATTTGGTCCAATTTTGCAAACTCTGAATAATTACTTCTAAAGGTAAACAAATGTACGCCATATGTACGCCAAAATTTGTGTTTGTACACCGGACAAGTCCGGTGTACACACTTTACTTTCCAGGCTGGTAATATATGCATTTGGCAACTGGATTTAAGTTTATAGCTATAGAGTATAGTCATACGTTTCTACACTCTACAGATCCCTTGCGTTGTTTATGATTTGGTATTTTTAAAAGGCAAATTTTCCAAGCTCCCAAGAAAGCTTAGTTATTATATATGCATTGTAGCATACAATAGCACAATGGCGCACATATTCTTTGGTCATATATGATCGGAATTTAATAAATGCAAACAAGGCAAGGGTCTGTTGCGCTATAAAAATTTGTACTACCTTGCTTGCTATTTGAAGCCCTTGTAATGTGTCATCCAAAGAAATATTAGATTACTAGTATGGAATGTTTATAAATTCGCCATATAGAATAGACCTTTTCGGTAATTACGTCACAACTACATTGAAGCGAGGCTTCTAAATAAAAGCAATATCGCTTGGCCTCTCAGCCTCGCTTCCGTGTAATTTTGACGTAATTACGAAAAGGTCTATTTGACTGAATGACCTGTTGGCATTTTCAAAAAACAGTGGAGCCTCCCCATGTTGTAAACATGATTAATGTAGAAAGTATCGCGGGCTTATCTTGCTAACAATATTATTATAGTCACCAAATTATTGCATTGATTTTTAACGTTTATTCATTAAAACACAAATTAAGTGTGAAATAAAATATATTAAGCCATTGCCAGAAATCAAGGACAGTTTCTGCACAGTTACAACGTGTTGCCTCGCGGGCGCAGATATAGCACTTTTGATTTTTAAGACTTTTCGATTACATCGCCATTCATTAAACAGTTTTTTACCCATACTCAGACTTTCGTAAAATGGTAAACAATCGAAGGAGCAATATGCTGAGAAGTTCGAAGAAACGTTTTGAAGTGGAAAGAGTTATTTTTCGCAGATATCATCGTAGAAAGGTGTGCATAATATGTTTTCATGAGCGCTCAAAATATTTATATTACAATGTCAATGACATTGACAACGACAGTCTATTTATTGTATTTCACTGTCTCTTGTTTTACTTAAAAAACTTAGATTGGAAACTTTTTCGGGCTGTTTATTATCGTTTATTAATGACTTGTCATGTTTAGGTAGAATATTGTTGGGTATGCCAGGTTGTAGTGAAATTACTCAACACTTTGAAGCATTTTGTGATGTTACCTTCACCACAAGCGAGCAACATGTAGAACTTAGAATGTCTCGTCAATTGCGAGATCAGAAAGATGTTGATACCCTTCTTCAGTGGCTTATGGTTCACAGTCCCATGATGTCAACCAAGGAATTGATGTCAATAGCGACTGGTGTCGTGGCTGACAACACAATAAATTGTGATGCTGCTGTTAAAGTTGGAACAGAAGCAATGCAGAAAATATTGGGAAAGACGTTTGGAGACATCCAACTGCACAGAAAAGACAAAGTTCTTCCACTGTCCTGTGTCAACAACTCGGTAAAAGTACGTGAAGAGGTCATTCCTGTAAATACCATGCAGTTGTTTAACAGAATTGTTTGTGTCATCAAAACAGATGAAGATTTCGCCTCTTGCCTAGAATATGAACTAGCTCCCAGACCATTATCACTCTTTGATGAGATATCAATGAGAAAAACTCAGAAATCGGTCATGTATGATGTCATAGAATCTGTAGCTGATAGTCAACAGACATATCCTGCAGGTAGTACCGTCGTCTTGGATGGTGGATACTTATTGAGACGAGTGATATGGCCGCAACATGGCTCATACAGTGACATATATTCATCATATGTGACCTATGTTCAAAAACACTATGAAACACAAAGGGTCGTTATTGTATTTGATGGCTATAGTGACGCTCCGTCCACAAAGTGTGCTGAGCAAAATCGGCGAGCAATGAAGGCGCAGTCGACAGAGATCTTGTTCACGGATGACATGCCTATTACTATCCGTCAAGAAAGATTTCTGACAAATGGAAAGAATAAAGCACGGTTTATTGAAGGTCTAACGCGATATCTTGAACATGCTGAGATAGAAGTGAAACAAGCGGTAGCAGATGCAGATGCGTTAATTGTGCGAACTGCAATTGATTTGTCGACCAACAACAACGTTGTCGTAGTCGGAACTGATGTCGACTTGCTTATTTTGTTGATACAGCTATCGAAGAAAGACAACCAACTCTATCTGTACAAACAAGGAGCTGGAAAATGTCCAGATAAAGTATTTTCTATCAGAGATGTTCAGAAACATTTGACAGAAGTATCCAGCTCGTTGTTCTTTCTGCACGCCATGACAGGTTGTGACACTACCTCCGCCCTGTACAGACAAGGCAAGAAGAAGGCGTTCAACCTCTTACAGAAAAACGAGGAATTACGGCGCGAGGTGGTGAGTGTATTCAACGATCCAACATCTTCCCCTGATTCTGTGTCATCCGCGGGAGAAAAGTTTCTTCTGGCATTGTATAGTGCTCCTAAGTCAACAACTTCTCTGAATGATCACAGACACAAACGATTCATGAAAGCGGTAGCTAACTGTCCTGTTAACAACCAGATGCAACTCGCGGCTTTGCCACCGACATCTGCAGCAGCAAAGGAACATTCATTCAGAGTGTATCATCAAGTGCAACAGTGGTTAGGAGTGGAGTTGCCCCCAACTCAGTGGGGCTGGCAATTGAAAAATGGAAACCTGCAACCGGTTCTCACTCGTCAAGCACCTGCGCCTGAAAAACTGTTAACTTTGATTTCTTGCAATTGCAAGAGTGGCTGTGAGCGATCATGTGGCTGCAAGAAAGCAGGTTTGGTTTGCACCGTTCTGTGTGGCCATTGCAACGGAAATGGCTGCAGTAATTCTGAATCACCAATTGTATGTGAATCAGAAATGGATGGAGAACATATTTTTGATGAAAAGAGCGAAGGCATTGATGTTATTTCCGATTCGCCGATATTGGAAAATGAAGCATTTGATGTCCATGTGCCTGACGAAGAGTTGTCAATAGACAATCAATCTGATGAACTTGAATTTCCATCAGCAACTGCGAATCCACGAAAGCGGAAAAGTAAAACATAAACATATCGGGACAGTGTACAGTCTTTCGTGTAATAGAGTTGGGTGGAACCCCTGGCTAGGATTCTTGTGAAACGTGTTTTAATAATATTCACTTGTCAACTTTACTGTGAAAATTCCAGTTGTTACTTTGTGTCAGGTAATTTTGTATGTTATCGTGCTTATGACGTCATAATATTGCTGTTTAGTCTAAAGTAATAATTTTACGTACCAAAACATATTTTAAAAAATCCATATTTAGCGCAAATATAAGTAATGACGTCATGACCTCATAACGGCAGAAGCTCCAGTCGGATACATGAGGACTTTTACTATGTTATCAAGGTCACTGAAATGAGTGAATACCCCAATTTTCAACTTCTTACTAATTTTTTCCGACCTTTTTTACCATTTTGACTGTACTATCAGGTACTCATCGAACTCTTATCGAACTCCAGGAACACAGGAACACCCCAGGAAGGCACAATGTGGCGCGCTTACAAGGCCTGGGACTAGACTGATGCCACAGAGTTCGGAGGATCGCGTCCAGACGAACGACGGGAAAACAGTTCTGGGAAAAGCCTTTGTTTCCAGGTACGCAATTGTTACTCCTGAAGATTCACTTTCGATTTAACAATTATTTGATAGGACTCATTGAGCGACAAGCAACGAATTTAAGAACATCGTTCAAATGTAGGCAATTTTGATTTAAACGCTTGAAACGGCAAATTGCTCGTATGGAAGGCGATAGGAAGAAAACTCCTTGGCCTAGTAGCGACGAGCAACAAGGCGAGAATATCAATTCTTTGTCGACCAGTGCCAGTGGCGAAGCAACATCCGACGGTTCATCATCTTCGACAGATTCTTTATCCTCGAAGTCTATACCTGACAATCTTGATCACCACGCAGAGATAAACAAAAATGGTAGGTATTTCATAGCTAGTGTGCAATATATATACTTGAATATGTGCTGCCAATAATAATTGTAAATTGCTAAGGAGTTAAGATGCATTGCCTTTGTTTTAAACAGTCGAAATAGAACATCGACTACCCTCTCGAATGGAAATTAGTATATATGGCTACCCAGTCTATTTCGAGTGTTGTACATGTAACTCCAACACTAATTACAGCCGTTAACTCAACTCACAAATCTTTACACACTTGTATCGAAACGTTTTTAAATACAATGCGCACTTTCGGTTAGTTTCTTTCTGACCCAACTTCCGTTCTCTTGCTTTATAGGCAGATTCCCATGTAAATGAATAAAAATAATAAATTGTTAACTTCCTGAATTAATACTGGTTTGACATGAATAAAATATTATTATTAATAACTATATAAAATATTATTATTAGTAAAATAAATATTATTTAACATGGCGTCAAACTGAAGAGGCTGAGAATCAGCGAAATATATATTTTATTTGCCATGGTTTTAAGTTTTAGTTTTTTGAATTTATTTTAACAGTTTTAATAATTAGGGTCTAGGCTTTATTAAATGTGTTGAAAGAGAAACTTATGGACGATATGTCAAATTCAAACTGCCTGAAATTATAGAACTCTTTCCTTGCTTCGACAAACAAAATTGCTGAGAAAAATAAAATCCATCAACTCAAATTGCCAAGTTCTTGGAAAATTAATTGTACTGAATTCCCAGCTTCTAAAATCCAAATTAAAACATGGTCATTCATAGGTTGTATTTCTGGTTGTGTGAATTCACAAATAATTAATTTGGAAGATGATTTGTGTTATAATTATATAATATAGCCTTAATTATATTTCGTGGCCAGGCTAGAGCTAAGATGACTTTTTTGGGAAGGAATTGCAACAACATAAAAATATGAATTTGCTCGATCTGTAAAATGGGACAAATGTATCATTAAAACGATTGGCCAAGAGTCTAGGAATGTCCTTTTGAAAAGTATTTTTTTCTGCCTGAAATTTTAGATGTCTTTTGCCCTAAGTGTAACTTAAAGCTTAATCGAGAAGAACATAAATTCTGTTTTGGGTGTGGGACATCAATAGAAGAAATTATTTCAACTCTTGGTAGTAAGCAAGGTAAGGATGTGTATTTAAATACTTATATATGTTTCCATTTGCGTTGATCCATCTACCATTGACATGTTCATTATTTATGTACCATTGTACCATTTACCATTTTTGACTGTCACTAGGTTCTAAAGGTCAGGGGCAGGGCTGAGTTGTATTGAACATATAACAATTAATGTCCATTTATTGCACTCACTTACTTATCACATCAGTCAAAAAGAAATTCTCAACAAGAATTGCCGTACATGCTACCAATATTTGTAAATTACTATATATTGAGTGAAGATTGATGCATGCATTAATTGTTTTATAAAGATTCAAAAATAACAAGTTGACTACCGTAGATATATAGCTCTTGACTGGAAATTGGTATACTTTTAATTTTTTATGCAGCTAGTGACTAGCTAGCCTATTGTATCTCCAACAACATACAATATATTTTGAATTATAGCTTAACTCGCAGATCTGCATGATCACCTGGATTTAAACATTTTTAATGGACCAAACATCCATTGTCTTGCTTGCATGGTCAAATTCTCATTATAAAACTGAAATTTTAAATAAGTTTTAATATAACCAGGGAGCAGCGTGGCAGCTTCTTCAAACAACTTAGCATCAAATGTGATATAACAACTGCCTAAATTAGACAAAGCACTTCTCGACGTTTCGAACTGAGGGCCTTCGTCAGGAGAGTTAGTATGAAAATAAATAGGGGAGAATACATGTTTTTTATGGGGGCAAGATACGTGATAAAAATGGGCCAATAGGAAACAAAAAATCAAACCAAATTGGAATACATTAGATTGCCAAAAAGACGACTGATGGTGGGCTAAGAGAAGCCTGCAATGAGGGAAGCCTGATCAGCAACGGAATGCATTGCAACCAGCTTTGATGTAAACAAAGCAATGATAGTCATATTACTCTGGGTGAAGTAGCTTATATCAAAGAGAGTCTTTCATTTATGCCAGAGGGATGGAGAGTGCCAAGACTGTGGATGACTCGCATTTCTTGTCGTTTACGGCTATCGTTAGTACTGGAAATGGGGCAGAGGGCTCTAATTTTCATGTCCGTGACACAATGATTACCAGAGGTAAAGTGTCTGGTAACAGGCTTGGTGTTATCGTGGTTGTTAACCGGCCTAAGGTGTTCACCAAACCCAACCCTTAGAAATATTCCAGTTTCACCGATATATAGTGAACAATACAATACAATACAATACAAAGCATTTATTTTCACACGATAAAATTACAGCATAGCTGATGTGGTCGTGTATCCTAATAATTAAAATATAGTACACAAGTATACTAATTAACCTAACTATATACATAATTAATTATTCTGTATTTCATGTTTAAAATGACCTAAATTAACTATAGCTCTTTGGTTATTTTCCAAGGAGTTCCATAAAACGGCAGCTTGATAAAAAATTGATTTTTTCAGATATTCAGATTTTGGCTTAGGTAGTAAAACTGTTTGTTTCCGTCTTAAGTTATAGTTACTTTTGTATTTAACTAAATACGGCAAAAGTAGTTCAGGCAAATGACCATAATAGCACTTATGTGCTAAAGTCAGTAACTTTTCAGAATAGATTTCTTTTAGTGATTTCCATTTTACTTTCCTGTAAACGTCTGCTGTCGGTGTTTGCCAGTCCATCCCATAGATGATTCTAGCAGCTCGTACGTGTATTCTTTCCAATTCGTCAAAGAGCACCGTTCCACATGATCCCCAAATGATCAAACCATAAGTAACTGAGGGCAGTAATACTTTATGGTAAAAATCCCCTTTGGCTTGGATAGGGAGAAAGTATAAAGATTTTAAAAGGTTAAGTTTCTGTACAAAAGACTTTATTAGTTTTTGAACATGGGCTTTCCACGTTAGTTTATTGTCAATTTCAATACCCAGACATCTTGATTTTTCAACCAGTTTAATACAGTGGTTTCCCAGTTTAATCGCTTGTAGTGGTCCTATAAAGTTGCTTCGACTTAATATCATGCATTCTGTTTTTCCTGGATGTGGTGTTAATAGGTTACTATTACACCAGTTTTGCATCGCAGATAAAACTTTATTTAGTGCTGAACAAACTTGATCATGGGTTGGCCCAATTACATACAGGGTAGTGTCAGATATTCAGATGCAACAAATGAGGTTGGAGGAGAGGCATGTGAAATAGTGCGTAATGAAAAACTGTGAATTGGGAGCCGAAATGACAGTGCCAGAATCGGTAAATGAGCATGTTTTACATTGGCCAATGCCACATGGGAATGTGCCATTGGGCTCTGAACAGTTTTGCTGTAGAGAGCTGTGAACCAATGTGTCCCGGATATTTTTGTTTTGCCGAAAAGAGACTAGGGGGTTATCGGTGAAAATGGAAGATGTTTCGGGATCATTCTGCAGGATATGAAAATTCCTAAGTAAGATATCCCTAACAGCATAATTGAAGGCAATTGGTTCACAGCTCTTTACAGCAAAACTGTTCAGAGCCCAATGGCACATTCCCATGTGGCATTGGCCAATTGCCAGACACTTTATCTCTGGTAATCATTGTGTTTGGCTTCCCTCATTGCGGGCTACTTTCAGCCCACAATCAGGCGACTCTTTGGCAATGTAATGTATTCCAATTTGTTTTGATGTTTTGTTTTCTATTTGCCCATTTTTATCACGTATTTTGCCCCCATACAAAACATGTATTCTCCCCTATTTATTTTCATACTAACTCTCCTGACGAAGGCCCTCAGGTAAATCCATCAACTCAACTTACCAAGTTCTTGGAAAAATTAATTGTACTCAGATATTGGCGAGCAAGTTATCCAGCAAATGATGGCCCAGCAAATGATTTATTTTATAAATTAAATTTCCACCAGCCTAAAAGGTATTTTGACTCTTCTGGAATATTAAGTTCTCATAGCAATATATACTTAATGTCCTGACATTTAAATTATGTGTGTTGCTCTTCCAAGCCTAAACTATGTTAAGAAGTTTATATGCATGGGTGTGAACATTGAAAAGACTTAAATATTTTGATGTACCAGGATTTTAAAGTTACCTTTAAATGCTTGGAGCATATAAGCAGCACCTTATCAACGTAATTTTCTATATTATATACAGTATATATTAAAAAAACTTTTATACTTTATTTATATATATATATATATATATATATATATATATATATATATGTATATATATATATATATATATTATATAATATATATTATATATATATATATATATATAAAGTAAAACACCATTATAACTAAAAGTAAAACATCATTTGATAAGAAAAATATAATAAATGCATTACGTTTCGGGGCACGGCCCCTTCGTCAGAAACGATATAAGATCCTCTCCATGTCCTTAAATAGAGTTTAATGACTTTTTAGTGCAAATTATTGACGTCACTGATGTTAATAAACCCACTGAAAGGGAAAGTTTTTGAATTGAGAAATTGAATATTTATATTCCAAGGGGTTTAAATTTAGGGGAGTATATATTAAGTATTCAATTTCTCAATTCAAAAACTTCCCTTTCAGTGGGTTTAATAACATATATATATATATATATATATATATTATATATATATATATTATATATATATATTATATATGTATTATATATATATATTTATGAGACAAGTACAGATGTATATATGGCCATGATATTTCGAAGCATTTGGCAATTGTCTGGAACAATGACGTCTGTTCTAACGTTAACTCCGGCGTTCTGCGCACGTGCCAGTCCAAAATAGAGCTTCTGAACATAAACAACACAGTACATACATCATTTAGAAGCACATCGTACTTTAAAAAGTATAGAAGTTCAACTGTTCAAAAATGTAAACAAACGTGATAAATACGGTCACATACACTTTTCAAATACTAGTATATTTCGCGCCAAAACACACTTGCGACGACGAAAAATAAAAAAAATCTTAAATTTTCTATTTGAATAGTTTTATTCTGCTTATAATTTTAGATGTTTTTTGCCCTAAGTGTAATTCAAAGCTTAAACCAAAAGAACATAAATTCTGTTTTGGGTGTGGGACATCAATAGAAGAAATTATTTCAACTCTTGGTAGTAAGCAAGGTAAGGATTTGTATCCAAATACATTTATATGTGTCAATTTGTGTAGATCCATTTACCATTGGACTACATTGATGCCTTAAATTTTGACAGGGACAGGGCGCAGCTGTGATGAACTATAACAAAGTCCATTTATTGCATTATAATTCACTTATTCACATCAGTGAAAAGGGAAAATTGCAAAAATGAATTGCCCCAGTGAATTGCTCTAAGTCACTAGTTGTACAGTATGTTTTTAGTAATACGTAATATATGTTACCATTTCAGCATGGCCATTGGTCCAAATTTACAGTATCTGCTACAAGCACCTTGCGTCTTTGACTATGAGAGCGAGGTTTTGGGTCTTTGATTATTAAGGAGATTGAGGAGGACGTGAACGTCAAGACGACTTGAAAATGGCGAATAAATGGCGTGGCATGTCCAAATAGATGCATCACGCCATTCATTCGCCATTTCCACGTCCTCTTTGAATCTCCCTGTTATTAAAACACAGGCCGTCGAAGATCCTGAAAAATCTTAATTTTTTCTGAAAAGGCAATTTTTTTTCGACAAAACAAATTAGCAATTAAGGCGTTCACTAGTTGACGATTTAGGCTGTCTAACTAATAATAATTTTTACTTTATAAGATGCCATTTCGTCTGACGACCATGTTGCAGTGTGTGGTGAATCAGAACAGACATTAACCCGTGTGGCTGTAGTTTCAAGTGATGTTATTGAGGTAAAACAACCAATTGTTTTGGCCAAAATTGTTGTTGAAGAGGCAGTGCAACAAGGATCCCAACAGCTTACATCGCCAGAAACCATGTGTACGGGTAAAAATGATGGTGCTCAAAGTGGAACTATGCCAATTGCAAGTGGTGTTGAGCAGGATCTTTCAGACACCCATAATGTCCACGGTACTTCTGAGCAAAGTGTAGATCTTGCTATTGTGGTCGCTAGTGAAATTCAGAAAATTAAACAATTCGAGGAAACACGCGATGCAGAAAGACTGGCAGAAGATGTGCAAAAGTCCTTGGGCGATGACGCGGTTATTCGTGGAAATGATACTCGTACAACAAATCCTGAACGTGCGGCATTGCCAGGAATGCCCACTAAAAGCGTGCAACTGTCACCTGCTTCTCAGAAGAACTTTACTGCTAGCGATCATCAAAATTTTGATGCAGAAAGCAAAAGTGGTGAAAAAGATTCCAAAACAGATTCTAAGTATACAGTTGTACAAGAGATACAAACAGGTAGCATAGCACAGTCGTCTGAATCTGCAGCTAACATGACTGTTGGCAATGCAAATGATGTACGTGATAAAACCGACCCTAAGCAGTTAATTGCTCCAGTGATGCAGAAAGAAGGCGAACACCAGTCTTCTACTCTTCAAAGGAATTTAATCGTTGACGATCAAGATATTGATGTAGAGGGTAATAAAGGTGATAAAACACACTCTGAGAAGATATTTGAGCCAGGGATACAGGCCACTTTAGAAAATGTGAATGTTGATGATCAAATTTCCTATGTGAAAGCTTATGTAGGTAGTGAAACAGACCCTCAACAGATAGTGGAACAAGAGGTGCAGAGTGATAGCAGACAACAGTCAGCCGCCTCTGCAGGAAATTCGATTGTTGTAGTAAGTGATGTTAGGGGTGATACAGATCCTAAACATGCAGTACCAGGGATAGAGACAGAAAACGAAAAAAAATCATGTGCTACTCAAGAGAATATGACTGACACACAGTCGACTGAAATGAAAGACATTGAACAACGTAAAGAGAACCATTCAAAGGGAAATGGGAACGAACATAAATTTCAGGAAACTAAAATTACGCAGACACACGAAAAACAAAAAGGTGATAAGCCTTCTCCCGGGAAAAAAGGCCTAGAGTCAGGAAAAGACAAAAGTGTTCAGGTATGTATATTTCTAAGTAGTTCAGCACGCGTTCTTTGTTACTTTAGCTAAAGGCCTATTTACACTATGGGATTCTTACTAATTGGCGTATCTTAACGTACGAACGTGACATTCCAAATTCCGCCAAGAACAAAATGAGAAAGATTGTGGCATGGGCCCTCTTTTGCATTTATCAGAATGATATTTACATTCAACTAATTACCAGATTACCTTCAGATTACCAGTCCTAAAAGTGAAATGCATACTAACAAACTCATACATGCAGGTCTTTCAATAATTATTCGAATATCGCGAAAAAACCCAGAAGTAAACGTTATTATTTAGTGGTATTTACCAATCCTCAGGCGAATAATTGTTGCAATAACCTCTATTTAGCGGCTCTCCAATAAACGGCCACTCACTATTAAATGGCCACATATCAATGTCCTAAAATTTTGTAATATAAATACTGTTATAATAGCCTTCTCTCTGTTAAACGGCCACCTTATTAGGCGGGCGCGGCCACCCACGCAACGAGCATTCCCAACATATGGTTTATAAGAATTTTTGCGTCCATTTAAAGGCGAGCCCGTAGGATTTACCTGAGGCGACATTTTGTCAAAAGAAACGCAAAAACGTCAAGCTAATTTGTTTCCCATATACACCAATTTACAACTCGAAAATGCCGTATATACCCATGTCATTTTCTGCTATTATTTTGTGTCAAATTCCCATGGCGAAACCAGAATGATTTGGCAATTAAAGGAGCTCTGCCTTAAAGTAGGATCGAATTTAGTCACAATTAAATTATGAAAAATGCTGAAATTATAGCTAAATTTGGTATCAAACATCAAATTTCAAACATCACGAGTTGTACGGGCAACATCGCATGATTATTTGTTTATTTATATTAGCATTTTAAATCATAAAATTTTCAAAGCGCTTCGTCAAAATCTGTTAGGACGCACGTTTCACTGCATGCATGCTTAAAAGTCCTGCCAGACTTTTATACATTTGTACTTTTTGCCGTATTTTTGCTTGCCTAGCTACCTGGCCTTTTTACCTTCCTACACGCCTGTTTAGTTTGTATATCGTTCCGTCATTCCGTCGGCTTTTCTCGACGAATCATTTCATCATGCGTATATATAATAATATATTTAACTCTTCTTTTCAAGTTTTCTTATCACGAACAAGAACATTAATTTGTGCCCAATTATGATATTTACCGTTATAAAACTGAAATTAAGTATACTTCTAACATTCAAAAGCTCTATACAAGACCAAACTGTGTCAGTTACACTCTTATTATAGTATCGACATTTAGTTCATGTAAAACCTGACAGCTTTGTTTCACATTTTTAAAACAGGAAAAAGATGCTGAAAAGAGAAAAACTATTTTAGAAATAGTTATGGAGGCATCTGAAGATCCTTTATCAGAAAAGAAACCTCCAAAACCTGAAGTTGAGGTACTTACATATAAGTACATATAAGTATACATTTATAGCATATTTCGGTCACTCGAAAATCACCAAAGTAGGTTCTGTCAACTTTCAAATCGGCGACAAGTCTTTTTTTGTCCAATTGCAAAGATAACAAATAGATAATTTTAAAGAAAACAATAAAAGTACGAAAGAAACGACCAAAAATATTTTGAGTTGTTAAACGTTACTCAGAAATTTCATAGGTTATTTCACAGGTTATTTTCTAGACGTTTGCACAGTCACGTTTACTCGCCTCAGGCTTGATGAGCATAAATATTGAATTCTGTATTCCCAAAGGTTATATAAGCGGATTAATAAGAGGAATCTGTTCGAAAATTGTTCTTTTGAGCTCACTAGAATGCAGAAAAGAAATTGCCAATCAAAAGCAAACGATTTGCGTTATGTGTTAGCGCTTTGACGGCTATAGATGGAGACTTGCCTTATTACAATGCATCATTGATAGCTTATTAGCGAAGCGTGCATGGAGTTGCTTTGATTCAAGATGATCTAAAATGAAACATACTTTGGTAAACAAAAACATCTTGCAAACCAGACTGGTTTGTCAATAATTCTGAAGTATAGAGTTGAAATATAACCAATTGAATCCTTTACCAGCTGATAGTTTTAGAAAATATAGAATTAAAGTAGCTAATTCCGAAAAATGAAAACATAATGCAAATTTTATTCTGTATATTTCGAATCAAGATCGATTCATCTTCAGCAGAATGGTTTACGTTTATATACAATATTTTGTATTATGTATTATGCTTACATTTTTCGGAATTACTTTAATTCTATATAACCAATTGAATATTGCGTCTTGTCTTTCTTATGACTCAAATCTTGGGTTTGCAATATGTATTTGCTTATCGGAGTATGTTTCATTTTATATTTTTTGAAATTGTCTGCTTGTGAAGCAATCAAGATCATCTGTTGTGTATCTTCTGTAACTATACTACCGATATGAAGAACACATTGTGGATGGTTGTTAGCTTAAATACACTGGCGGTCAAAAAGAACTGCTCAAAACAAGTTAAAATGCTTTCAAATGAACGTAACTGTCCCTCTAACATGCAATATATACGAGTAAATATAGACTAGATTACATGCTAAGCTATATGAGCTATGCTGACCCTCCTTTGGCCTTATAATTGATGATAGCCTTAACACCGGCGTGGCGTACTTTTTGTTAAGGTGGTAATCTTGAGCGGTCAAATTTTTTTTTTACTTTTAAACGTTAATATTTTTTTTACTTTTAAAATCTTCATTTTACGCTTCGTTAAGTCTCTGTAACCGCGCTGGATGTGAACTGCGTCTTAAGGCACTGTAAACCATGCAATTTTCCTTGCAACTTCCAATGCAACTGTAATTTTGAAGGATGTTAATTAGTAAAGAGTGCTCGAAGTGTTAAGAAAAGTCAGCAGAGTGTAATAAAATGTTGTATTGGGATGGATGTTTTATAGTCGTTTTGTTGTCTTTTAATGTTATGGGCAGCATATGCACTGAAGCCAATGCAGTACTGCTTTATCAACAACAGACTATACGTTCCATACGTCAGAAGTGAATTGGATCCAACAAAATCGTGTAAACAGACTGTGATCGTGTGAACTCAGACCTTAACAGCGCTTAAAGACTTAAAAGTAGAAGCGTCAATAGATTTTAAATATTTATTAAAAGAAAAACCAAAAGAATGGTACATACATGCATAACTCAGCATTTGCAATAGATGATGTATGACATGTGTCTATAGACGTGATTGTATGACGTCACGTCCAATTGAGGGGAATTATCGCATGCATTCAGTGCTTCCATTTCTTCGGAAATTTCCTTTTCTAAGGGCGCCTCTATAATCCCATCAGGCGTTTTTCTAAGCCTCCCGAGTGTTAGTTATTCATTTGCACAACCTTGCAAGATAATTTTAGTATTCCATAATGTCTTCACAATGATGATAATAAATATATAATTGCGTATTTCATGTTTAGGAAGATGGTCAAGACGAATCCGGTCGCTTTTACAGAAAACGACCACTTTCCGAGGATGAAACTATAGGAAAGAAAAACAAGAACAAAAGAAAGACTACTACGTAAGTTAGCATTAATATTCGTGAAGTTTATAAATTTGCGAAGACTTTAAATTTGATTTCATGACACGAGAACGTATATGAGACGTTTCTTATTGCCCAAAAAGTTCTCCTTAAAAAAAGTGAACAATATACATGTTATGCTCTTTACCAGAAATGTGCGATCAGTGTACATGATCACCATACATAATGGCATTCAACTTTTACTATAAAGTACATAGAGTAAAAATACAAAACTTAAAATCGCCGTTGTTGGATCAATAGTGTAATAATTCATACAGATGCACGGCCTTGCAAGACTTGACAGACAATGGCTAAATATAGGGGTGATTAGAAATTGACATTGGGATATTCACATTAATTAGTGGAAGGATTATGTAAGGATATGCAAGGGAAGACAATAAAGTATGACAAACGAGCAATATTACATGGGCGACGAAAACTAAAATAAGTTATTAAAACACATCTCACGCTTATATGCCACCATTTGACGTTGAAGTTGAGGCAGGAGGAAACATAGCGGCCAAATGGCGTACATGGTTGGCAGATTTCAAAACATTTGTAAGGACATTTTGTCGGTTACGGCGTTGGCGATCCAATTGATGTTTCTGCTTTTAAATATTGAAGTCGATACGGTGAAGTGCTTTCAAGAAATCTAGCAGGCATGCATATCCGATTTTTCAAAGGGCCGTGTATCACACAAATATGATAAGGATAATAAAAATTGAAATAAATTAGATATATAGAATATACAATCTTCGATTTAACTAGCCAGGACGCAGAATGCTGCAATTTAAAATCAATCGGTGAAAATTTTTTTGAAATTCTAGTAAAACAGTAGCTTGCTCCGAGAAGCTGCTCCACGATGAGTGAAACTCTTTTTAAAAACTCGGCTTGGACAGAATCATGTTAAAATTATTGTTTCGCAGGTGATAATTCGTATTGTTACATTTACGAAACAGCATTGTTAGGTAGGTCGGTACCAAACTATTTATGATGTTAAACATCATTATTAATTTCAGTTTATCGAGAATTGTTTGATGGTTGCCATTGAAGGGTTTCAAAATTTGAACAGATCTAATACTGTAATTTGAACTAGTTATAACAAAAAGAACTGCTCAAATGTTGCTATTATCGTATGTAACAGGAATCGTGACAATCTATCTTTTATTGTACACTAGCAGTCAAAAAGAACTGTTTAGATACAAATTCATAAATAAGAAGCGAATATATGAGAGAGCTTCATAGGCATTTTGTATAATTCTTTTATTCCAAACAATATTTCAACAATGTAATGCAACCTGCCACACTTCCAAGATATTGTCAAACAATGGTTTCAGAAAGAGGGAGTGACAGAAATGGATTGGCCTGCACACTCAAAAGACCTTAACCCTATTGAAAATCTGTGGTACAATGTCAAGGGAATAGTGCAAGAAAGGAATTCATTCATAAAGCGTCCATGATTTATTCGTTGCTGTAAAGACTGTCCATAGGATGAATTTCTTTTGACCGTGAAGATTACCACCTTAACAATAAGTATGCAACAATTATAACATCAATTATAAGGCCAAAGGAGGGACAACAAAATATTAATATTTCATATAGTTTAGCATGTAATCTAGTTTATGTTTACTCGTATATATTGTTAGAGGGACAGTTACGTTCATTTGAGAGCATTTTAACTTGTTTTGAGCAGTTCTTTTTGACCGCCAGTGTAAATGAGAGCTATTATTAGCATGCCAAAAATTTGAATTTCATGCAGTATTGTAGCACGAGTGAGTTATGCATTGTAACTAATGCCTCTTGTAAGACAAACTATTTAGCATTCCGTAAGAGGACTAGAATAAAACTGATATTGTTTTGCATTGTTCGTTATTACGTTCATCCTATTTAAGTTGGTCATAAATTATAAGGCCAAGGGCCTTTTTTTATTATTTGTTCGTTTTATATTCTACTGCTGTATGTGTGCAGATGTTTTACTTGTACAAGATAGATTAGTTAAATGGAAATTTAGTCCAAAAGCGATAGCCATCTTGTGACTAATTTCTGGTAATGAAAAATTTTTTATACTGAATAATTTTTACCGATATGCCGAGTCTTCAAGCCAGCTATGAATTTTTTAACTGTTATATGCTTAGCACTATAAGCAAATTCAGCAAAGCCGTTGCTTTAATAGTTCAAAATTGAGAGCTGAAGATTGAGAGAGGTCAACAATTAATACTTATTTACTGACGCCGAGGTGAACAGTGTGTTTTGTTGAACCGAGACCGCCTTTGTTGCCCATAAGTTAGGATTTGTTATTATTTGTTATTTATTATATCTGTTATTTATTATATCTAGTGTCAAAATTTATCTTCTTTTGCCTTCCTATTGGACAAGAGGTCCACTCTTGGAGGGCGTCAAATCTCGTCAAATATGATGCCCGCTCGTGTTGATCACGCGTAGACCTCTTGTCTGATAGGAAAGCAGTTTTTATCAAAGCGATTCCTATTAGCCTAATCAACGCAGTGTGCGCGCAAGTATGCGCGTGTGCGCGCAGCAAAATATTCTCCGGTCCTATCTTCAAACTATCATACCAAAATATATATTATTTATATACTTATATACTTATATATATTTATGAATTAATAAATGTTAAATATTTTGTTTTTGATATTTAGTTCAACTAACATGGTCACGGAGAAAACTCTAACCGTTGTTTTCCACGCAGCATTATCTGATAAATTCAACTTTGATAGCGACACGAAGATTGTTATCCGTGGAGACGAACCAGGTTTTGGCGGTTGGAATAAACTTGGGGTACCTATGAATAAAGCAGGGTAGGTTACATATACGTTATTGAGTGGAGTTATTTTGTCGTTTCAGTTTTTATTCCTTATTTTTTATTGTGGTAAAATTTGTTTTCAATCCTTGAGACAACTGACAAGGAGGCGGGTTAAAAAGTCGATTAATCCTAACGATATCGTGTACTTTTTCTCTTTCGTCAACGCACTGTTATTTGCATGTTATCCTTTGTATTGGCTTTATTCCCTTTGTTGATAACTTGAAAACTTTTTAACGTATGTGATAATAATACGTGTATATATCACTAGAAGGGCGTCTATAAAATAGAGCGGTGAAACGCCAATATATAACCCCTGATCTATGTGTGATGCGCGTGGAGTAAATATGGCACTTTGTGTACTGTTCATTTTTTAGACGCATTAATTAAATTGGCTATTATAGTTTTTGCTTTTGTCTGTATTACCTTCCAGTTTTTCTTTATTCAAAATGCAATTAAACAAAGTAATTTTTATTCTTTCTAATTTATTTCTTAAACTGAGCGAATATTTTGCAATTTTCCTCCTCAGTAATCAATTTTCCCGCTCTTTTGTTTACATGGCTATCTCTGTCCTCAGCAGTGGTCGTGATGTCGTGTTTGTTAACATAATACTATAAATACATGCATACAGTAGCCCCTCGCCAATTTAAATCCAAACAATCAAATAGATTCAAATGGATTCTTCAATATTTCTTCGTTCTAACGTTCCGCCATCTTGAACGCATTTTCTGCCAGGCGTGTCGTCTGCGTTCCCTCGCTGTGGCTTCGCGCGTATCCTTAGAAATTACGCAATTATATTAAAACTAGAAATACATGCATTCAGCACTCCTCGCTTTTTTCTCAGGCTATAGATTATCTATAATTTATGGAATGACTCAATGGCAAAGCGTTGATAGCCAATATTTTTATCATTTCTTACAAAAAAATAGTCATAACATTGAAGGACCCTACCAGCATAGACACTACCAGCTTAGATAACTGTTAAAATTTCAACATTCGAGGCTTTAGAAAAACAACAAAATAGTACGAAATCTTTAAGTACAGAACCTGAAATATTCTTCGAATAAATATACATGCCGTTGGCTGTAAAAGCTTTGATTTTGAAGCGACCGTTTACATTAAAATATAAAAAAACACTTTTTGAAGTTAAAGCGATGGTATAAAAGCCTTTCTTAGCCCAATATGACTTTGGAAAACGACGTATCAAGCTCATATAAATTATAAATAAACTGCGTTCTTCTTCATTCAGCGCGAACGCAGAATATTAGATCGCAAGTAAACGCTCAAACGAAGGAAATTTGATAGCGCCAGGCGAAGAGCATTCGCATTTCCAACTAATATGAGCGCTTCAAAACCATCGCCGGGCTCGAATGCCAATATGATTTATACGTGCCTATACTATGTATAACAACTATGTTAATTTGGCGGAATTTTAAAACAATTCCGCGTATTTGCTTTGGGTTCGCTTTTTGCTCGCTCTTTCTTGAATTAAAATGACCAAAAGACCAAAATCTTCGTGGTCTAGCTGGTGAGACGGGAAGCAATTTCATCATATTCATTCCGTTATTTTAAATACTCTCCGTGGAGGTTTAGCTAGTAACATGAAGCTGAATGCATGCTATTAGACTTGAAATTGTGAAATAGGGCAAAGTAAAACTATTTCTCGTTCTCCCTAACTCTCAGGCGTGTTTCTATTACTCTATAGAAATTTGATGTTGTCCATCGATGTAGAAATTTTTTTTGTAATCATTGCAACGAATACCTGAAGGGTCTTAATTTCAAATAGAATTATACACACTTCAACCAGGAACAGTTGATGGAAAAATAAATCAACTATAGGTCCTTCGGAAGGAATCGAACCTACGCTTTTGTGATGCCGGGGCAATGCTCGTGCCACTGAACTACAGAGGTAGCTGACAAGACCAAGCGTGCATGGTTAATGTATATATGATGGTTATGCCGGGAAAATGCAAATTACAAAAAGGTTTCAATTGCGTATTTCAGATTAGATTGTCAAAAAAAGAAAAATGTGTAAAGGATATTTGATAGCAAACGGCAAACTTTTTTCTTGACTAATTGTGACAATGTCATCATGAATGTCTGTAGTTCCATGGCTAGTTTATAAACTAAAGTTTACACTTTTTAAACTTATACTATGAATTACTCTTAGTTTACACTTTATAAACTTATATTATGAATTACGAGCATTCAATTAGAAACAAATATAATTTGGACAGTTTATTATCGTGTTCCAAGACCTTTAATCTGAAGCTCCCTATTGTAGTATTCTAGTCCATCTAGTATTAATTCTCACTGCTCTTCCTTGCGAAACAATGCCCTTTGCCGAAATAACTAAGAATGAGAAAAAAATAATTTTCAGCTTAGAGCACTGTGCGGCAAGGAAAAGAGTTGTCGCAGCCGACGGGAGGTGGGAGGGGCAACCGTATTGCTCCTTAAGTCCGCTGGCTGGCTTTCGTAGCAAAACGATGAAAAAACCTGTTTCTACTCTATTTTATACAGGCCTGCTCGCTTGAGCATTGCCATTAAGGAGTTTGTTAAGCTTTTTGGTAGACAAAGTGGCATTGTTTGCCAATACTCCCAGTGAGAATATAAGTTTATTGTACTTTGCCTTTTTAGACATATTAACAAACAGTTGCTGTTACACGGCGAGTTCAAGTTTCCACTTCGACTCGCAGATCGCAGATATGGATACAAATATGTATTGCTGGCTAAGAAGGGTAAACCCACCTACGAAGAGCTAGTCGAATTCACATGGTTTGGAATTACCAACCGATGCCTTGTTATTGACAGAAAATATGCTGCAGAGAATAGTGAGTATATATTTAATGCTTTTCCGAGGTGGTAGTCTTGCAAGGGTTTGCAACAAAATGAATGACAAATGGTCTAGATCATGGTGAAAAACGTTAACCAATCAGATCGTTTGTTTACATTTTGCACGTTAAACCAATCAGAGGGCATAAAATTAGTAACATATAAACAGAAGGAGTGTGGAGAAAATAACACCCTGTTCTATATGATAGAAAATTGTGCCATTCGATATCAACTTTTCGCAAAAAAACCAGTCAAATTAATTATGATAAAACGAGGAGTTTGGGTTTTGATCGAGGGTCGAGGGTAGTATGTGAAGGTAAAGTCGCGGGTCGATTTTTATCGCATTTTTCGATCAGCAATATCGAGCGTGAATCGCATAGGGGATGAGTAATTGTTTAGTATTTTCGTACGGTACAAATTGTTTTTCTCTTTTAATAATTCCAATGCCGGAGGCAACTTTTCTGCATGTTGCATCTATATGCTTATTATTTTTTCGTCTAGTTCTACTCCCGAACAACGAAAAGAGGAGTAGCGAGAAACAGGTTTATCATTAATCATTACTTGATCATTCCCAACTTTATGTTTCAAGTTATAAGAAGATCCTATAAACATTGCTTTTGTCTGTTTTAATAATATGAAGTTGTAATTTGTTTTGGGAGAGCCATTTGACTATATTTTCTAGATTTTCTCGAAAAACTTACTTTTTAAAAACTTTATTAATAACAGAAGATCAGCGTATCAACGCAAAACATTCAAGCTGGTACTACAGATTTTATTATTTTTAAGGACAATTTCGACAAGGACGATGACGAATGGCGTAACTTGCTTAGAATGAGGTGTTATTTTCTCACTCCTCCTGTTTACATGTTACTGATTTTATGCCCTCTGATTGTTTAACGTGCAAAATGTAAACAAAC